GCCAGTTCCGAGAATTATCGCGGCAAAATGTCGTGTTGTCACTATGGTTCATGTATGTGTATAAAAGTAACAAGTTACTATATATATATATACATATATATGGACCGAGGGTTGGAAATGCATGCTTCATACTTAAGACGACTCAAAGATCAATATATTAACCACGACTAATCAACGCAATAAGATGTCTTAACATGATACTCTCATGACAAGTCGTGTTTTGTTAGTGTGTCGCTTTGTCGCGATAAATTATCTTGACAACAAGTATATGGCAGTTACATGCCACCATGGCTGTCTTTTAAATGTTTTAAGACATTTTATAAAAATATTACAAAAATATCAATATAAAAGCAAAAATGATTTTAGAACAAAAACCATGCTGTTATCTCGATTCGTGTTTCACCGTTCCTGACAAATGACAATTGTCTTCAATGTTTACGACGTTGTAAACGTGTCTTGAAACTGAAGCCCTTTTGTTAGCAGTTAGAAGTGATGTAAGAAATTACACATACAAACACAACCATCATCAAAGGGTAATTTCTTTCTTTTTCTTTTTTAAAATTTTTCTTTTGATGTTAAACTATAAATTAACATATAGGAGATCTCTCTCCCTAACATCGATTCTATTGATCTTGTAGTGTATGAAAAAATGTTTGCTTATAAACCTCTACAGGTTAAAATGTTTGTCATGTTTGGTATTTGATACTAAATATATATAAATAAATAAATAAAAATATACACACGTAATCCAACGATAATACTAAATCCACTAATGTATACGGTAACCACTACATTGATAGTTAGTTATAAAGTCTATCAATGACTTTGTTATAATGTAGAAATTCTCGTTCAATTTTCAGGCACGTGCACTACATTAAAACATATTAAAATCCACAAAGCATATGTATGTTGTCAAGTAATAATGGTTATAATTTTTGGTCGCGTAATTTTATTATACTACTGACACAACAGAATACTTTTATTAATTAAATCCTATATATCATTCTGAATTGTTACAATACATGGACATTTTCTTTATTAAAAAGTTTGACCGTGTCCAGATATAAACTTTTTTATCATCACTGGACAAAGTGCTTGGTTTATAATTTATTAACCTTTTGCTCCAGTGATAACGATCATAACTAGGAAATTACTTTCCCCATTGATAATATTTTCCGACTTTGTTCTTCAGTTAAAGTAAATACATAGGAGGAGGTACCTAGGCACGTTTTGCAATTGAGTATGACCATTTACTAAAGACAAATTATTTCATGGCTTATGCACAAGGTAAACTCTAACAGTTTCGTGGAAGAAGTTGAAGCTTTTCCAATCAACATGAGAGTTTTTTTTATTAAGCGAGGTACTGCAGTTTTTACAAGAATACGTCGTACAAACAAAATACCGGCGTACAGGATACATGTCCGAACTTGTGATCAAGTGGGCAGTTATTAGAAAACCCTCAAATGTGCATGAGCTTTCAAAAACATTGACATACATTGTGTGATAATTAAATATACTTCAATTTTTAGGATATGACTTTCTAAATTATCGTTTTCATCTTTTGAATATGATTTTAAGCGACAAGAATCTTTAAAGCAACAATTGCCTAATAAGATTTGGCGAGGAAATAGGGAGTTCGCCTCGTAGATGATGAAATAAATCTATAAATAAACATTTATTGTCATTTTTGTTCGCATATTTTTGAGGATGAAACATTGTGTACCCCGATTGTTGTTCGAAAACATCACCATGTTCGGTTAGCAGCAAAACAAGGCGAACGGATCACATAGTTCATCACGTGATGAGTCGCTGCCACAAGAACACGGGTACATGAAAAGTAAGCTATGCTACATCTTCATATTTCTTCTATCTTTTGTGAGTAGGTAATCATCATTATGAGTTGGTAGTCAATCGGATTTCACATTAGGATTGCTTATCAGGAAATGAAAAAATCAAAGACATTTTAATTAAATATTTCCATGTTGCGCCGAAAGTATTTGTACTGCGTCGGCGTTTAGTGTCAGCGCCCACGTGCTAATCGCGCTTTTAAGGTACCGGGTAGGCGGATAGAACGTAGTCATTCTTTACCGTCACCAAGCAGTTCGGTTGCAGAAAATAATTTAGACAGCGACATGGACAATTCTGTTGTACCCTACATTAATGAATCTAGGAGAATTAGTTGACGGAAAATTGTCCAATTTCGAATGGAAAATTTACACGTCAGCATATCTTGTATGTGGTCTCCATGGATAACAAAGTTCCCCTTAAGGTAATCCTCCATCGGATTTGATTTAACTATAAGCGCCAGGTTCCAGCACTGCACTAAGTCTTAGCCGCCATGGGCAATTAAGTGTTTTCCCGCCATGGAATACAGATTTCCGGTGGCTATTTCCGTTTTTTTTTCGGTGCAGCAGATTTCAACTCGCAGGTTGGATAAGTGTTGAAGTGAAGGGAAAGATTTTGGCAGAGCTTAAGACGCAAAATGTTCGCTCAAAAGACGTAGGCATCTGTTAAAACAATATTTATACGCAATGCATTGATGTATTGTGCAGTTTTATAATTACTAAGACTAATCAAAACGCCAGCTGCTTATCATGATAGGCTTTCACAGAAAAAAAAATGTAATTTAAGTTCTGTGTTATTTTTTAACGGTTTGAAATTGTTTTTCTCCCAACAAAAAGTAGTGTGGAGGGATGCCAAGGTTGGGACCCTGGGTTCAACCCCCCCCCCCCCTCCTTACATCATTGAGCCTCTTGCAGGAGGTCTCTTTCACTTCTTTCGTTAATTCATTTCATCATATTTCCTTTTTTCTCTTCAATCATTCTTTCATTCATTAATCACTTTCATACAAAAGGAGTTAATAATCAGAAATTTCACATCAACATAGCTACAGATGTTAATATTTCAATTTTATAAGAAGAAAATGTGTATATGCTTGTATGGAAAACATTCTACCCACCAACTCAAAACCCTTATACATTAAGTCCAGGAACGTGCTAGCATTTGATAATCAATGAAGGGTGCTTCATATCATATTAATGTTACCGTTCGTACTAAGCTCAGAGAAAAGACTTTGGATATTAGTAACGGGACTTCAGAAGAAGAAGACACAACCACTGACAACATTACAGTGTTCGTAATTTTCTAGATTTTCAATATTAAATTTCTGAAGTGAGAAATGACAAAACATCACCGTTCATGTTATATATAGAGGTGTTATGCAGCACGTACACATTTCAAACCGGTTTTATAAATTCCTCAGTGGTGTAGATAAACTACGGCATATCTTTACGGTTACGCGTTTTTTTTCACATTACGTAAACCGGAAAGGTTTTCATCTTCCTTCTCCCATTAAGCGCTGGTTTATAGTTTATATCCTTTAAATCGAAAGTTCAGTTAACTTGTTTCACGGGCTGCGCCCAGACCTTCGTCCTATAATTTGAGCTGTTATCTTAATCGTTTGGTTTTTCATCTCATTTTAAGTTTGATAATATTGTTTAACCATGCCACATGAACTGATATGACTGACGAAAATTATCGGAGCTTCAGATTAAGTTTACTTGTTTTCTCGTTTATCCTATCGATCAACATGTTTAAACTCTCTGCTAAGTAGACTATAATTCTGTTTATCTGTTTTTTTTTTTTTTTAATTTTTAATTGAAATGAATGATTTGTACATATTATGTAAACTCGCATTATACGTAAACAGAACCCTTGCCCTATCAGGCCTTCTAATATAACTAGGATCTCTGTAGGATCAGAACATCTACTTTAAACAGGACCCGTTTACTTCAATCTTCTAATGTACATAGAGTATCTGAAGGATCAGAACATCTACTTTAAACAGGACCCGTTTACTTCAATCTTCTAATGTACATAGGGTATCTGAAGGATCAGAACATCTACTTTAAGCAGGACCCGTGTACTATCAGACCTTCTTATGTAAAGAGGATCTCTGTAGGATCAGAACTTCTACTTTAAACAGGAGCCGTGTGCTATCAGACCTTATAATGTTAATAGAATCTCCGCTGCATAAGGATTCCACTTTATAATTGATCCTTTCAACAATTAGTCCTCCTGATGTCAATAGGATCCTGCAGGATTACGCATTATAATGTTAAAATGACCACTGTAGGATAATGTTGTCTTATATTACTGATGATATCAAATCTATTTGGTTCATAATTGCTGGGCTATGATTTTTCAGATACTGGGTACTGTGTACTCTGATGTAATGTACTAAACATTGTAGATGTAATCTGATGTAATGTACTAAACATTGTAGATGTAATCTGATGTAATGTACTAAACATTGTAGATGTAATCTGATGTAATGTACCACACATTATAAATGTATTTTTGTTAATACTGATCATGATGCATTGATTCACATTTCCAGATGGCTCATTTGTTTGGAGAATATTGACTTTCTTACCGAGATTCATGTTCGGCTATGGATTAAGTCCAGCATCAAGGGTGAACGATTGGCTCGGTGAAAAGATCCGGAACAAAACAGGCAATGCTGATATAACGTTTGAGCAGGTATGTGCTCGACAACAAAGAGATATATCACATTTCCATCTCGTGATATGCTTACGAAAGTAGATATTGTGTGGATATGTCTTTGTATACACATGATATCGCTCAGAAGGGGTTATTTACTAGCGGTTGTATAAGAGCATTTGTATATATTTATATAAATCAACTTTATTTGTTGAGTCGTTTATGTTTACACACATATTTATTTATTGTCTCTTTACCTTATAAATATGTTACGAGATAAGCGACTCCTTCAATTTGTTTAAACGGAGGAAATAAAGGGCGGACTTTTGAAGACTTTTATAATGAATTTAGTAATTGACTTTTAATTGACCTACTTTACTTTAATTTACTTACTTTATCTCTAATAGCTTTATGACATCAGCGGGAAAGAACTTTGCATTCTGGTTACAAACATTAATAACATGGCTGAGGAATACTGCCATCCAAAAACAACACCGGATATGCCTGTTAGACTTGCTGTGCGCATGTCCATGTCTATTCCAGGTAATCGCTCGAGTGATTTACTATTTCGTTTTGCATTATGCCCCAGGCATAGAGAACAGAAAATTTCGACCTTTAGGTTTTCGATTTACAACCAACGTGGTTTTATGAACCTCATAATTCTTCTTTGGACTCTTATAAACGATCGGGTCGTACTCATAGTACAAAACAGGATTTTCATATTTTATACATCATACATTTATTGATTCAAAGTACAAAGAAAGAAACTCTAACTTGACTGTCGGAGCATTGAAATAGTAATACATAACATTAAACCCTTTCACTCAATGGAGTTATCACCTCTGTATCCCAGGAATGTGTGAATAATTCGGAGTTTACTATTAGCAAGTTTCAGAAATACCCCGACAGTTCATTAACGGAACAGAGGAAGTGGTATTAGCTTCTAAGTTACAAACTTTACAAACCAACAAATTAACACGGCTTATCAACATGCATTGTAGTGACAATTCAGTAAGAATACAATAAAATTGTTGAGAGCAAAGCACAACAAGAAAATACCAACATGGCAACATAATCATAATCCAAACTCAATTTCAATAAAACTAGGTCAAAATATGAAATATTTACACGGAGACTCCTGAAACAAGTGCAAGGAGAATATGACCAAGTGTTCCGGAAGAGTAAGCGTCTTTTGCTTCATCGACGACATCCGACAAATGATTGTTTGTCAAATCAAATAAGTAGTGTCACGTTCTCAAATGAACACAACAACGGAACAATGTTAGTAACCATACGTAGATATTGAAATATATTAGATTTTACAATATAAAAGCTACAGAACGGTTCTGCTCAGATAGTGTTTTTTAAAACATTTTTTTGTACTGAGAAAATGCAGATGATTATTTATCTTTCATTGATTTCACAAATTACCAAATTAAGAAAATAAATTGTCCACTAGAAAGTCTGAGAACTCCCACCTTATGTTTAAAATGTGAAAATTATTAAACTGATTTGACGATTGAGTTGGCGAACCATAATTGGATAGTTTTTTTCATTTTACAGGCATGTTTCAGGTGGTGAAGTATAACCACTGTCCCCACTTACGACCCAACATGTATATCGATGGAGGGGTTCTGTGTAACTACCCGATTCACTGCTTCGATGGTACGTGATTTCAATGCAGCATGTTATGAAATAAGATGAGTTCAGCTTTCTGATTTTTGGAGCAGTATCGCACCCTGTGCTTCTGTTGACATCCCGGAGGTTATGAATAAAAATATGATTGTAAGGAAGCTAGTACGGGAGGTTACACGTTTTGCAGAAATGGTGCCCTCCGACCATATCAAGACACTCTCTTCGTCATTAACGATTGAAACTCTGTCCTTTGTTTTAAGTGATGGCCATCTTAACACAATTTAAGTGTCATTATATATGAATTATTAAATTGGTTCTGATTTTCACAGCAAAATTAATTTTTAGAGATATTTGCCCGTAGGCTGGTGGTTGTCTATGAAGCCAGAAGATACCTTTATTCATAGGATGTGTGATGGTCAACAACTTCCTGTTATTCTTAGTAAGGCATGCAGATTTGGAAAGAAGTCAGATAAAACCCTTGGATTTCTTGTGGTTGGTATAATGTTAGGAGTTGAAATTTAGATGTATAACAATTATTGGAAGTTCTGATATATAAGAATTGTTTAATGGAATTGAAAATAAAGTTCCATATTGAAATTTTCCAAACTGAAATTTACAAAAGTCTGTGCCCAATTCCTAAGTATGTTATAAAATCTATACACTCGAATCTCATTATTGCGAAGTAGGCAGGACCATTGTTAACTTCTTTAACTGAGTATTCGATTTAAGCAAGTTCGAATGTTTAGTGTGAGGTTTGGCTTGGACAGACGCAATGCTTCAAATTATACAGGGTTTTGAAGTTATAAGAGTTCGAAGTAACAAGGTTCAAATGTTATTCAAATAGGACTTGAAATTCGGTTTAGACTCATAAAAAATGAATCTAACTTTATAACTTCAGTATTCCGAGACTGAAGCCGACAGCTTTCGGTTTTATCTTGAGAACAGAACACCAGTGCAGGCCCGCTCAAACTCTCAGCTTAACAGGTACCCGTGGTTTATACAATGTCGTTCCTTATCTTCATAATAGTACAAAAGTGAACGATTTATATATTTGTACTATGATGTTTTACCTGTATCGGATCTTGAAGAAAGTTGGAAGTTTAAAATAAGTAGAATTCTTGAATAACTTAAGTCATCATATGATAAACAATCTTCCAATAACAACATTACAGTTCACATAACTAGTAAATTCATAGCTTAATATAACATTATCATAGGAGACGAAGAGCAGAACTGCTGGAGAAAGCCAGAGAAAGGAAACGGATTGGGGCTGCTGTCAGCCGTTTATTACCAGTAAGTGCATAACATTAATAGACAACACTTAATCAACCTTTTTCAGGTTTAATTTTTTTTTATTAACTATCATTTTATTTTAATCCATATGATTATATCTGGTATCTGAAAGTCATCTTACGTTCTGTCATCGTAGTCTATACATGTACATAACTATTTCTGAGTTCGACTCTTCAAACAACACATATTTTTTTTATTTCAGCTTTTGGACAAATACGATGAGAGTCATGACGGGAAGATTGATTACCAGGAGTTCCAAAAAGTATATGTACGTAGAAATATTGACCAGATTGAAATGGTGCTTCCCCCAGACATTAATATCACTGTTTAGTAGATCTTGTAGTATTTAGTTAACATGTTTGTGTAGATGGGAACAATCCAACCACACCTATATAGGAACCACCAACATCACAACTGATGAACGACCTAATTAATACTCATACTCAATACATTGACAACAGAATCATAAACAATTGATTAGCTTGTGTGTTCTGTCCGAGACTTAATGATATCTACTTACTGAAAAGATATTAAATTCTAGTTTAATGCGAGTTTCCTTTTCTAACAGGACCACTTTTCAGACGAAGATAAACAGACATTGTTTGCTGAGAATGCTAGATGCCAGGACATATTTAAAAGGCTAGACAGAAACGGCAATGGTCAGGTGAGAGTTTTTTTTCTTTGTTGGTTTTTTATTATTATTATTTTTTTTTTTCATATCGGAGACTTCGGGTAAAACATTCCTTTGTTTATCGTAACCCTCTACTATGGCTCTTTAGATACCTAAAGACTTGCCCACCATTTCTTTACTATTACTGCCTTTGATTTGTATTCGACATTATCGATGTAAGTATAATGAAAGTAATACTTAATGCCACATTTAGTACAGGAAACACTTCATGTTGCAGAATCAAAGTCTTTCACGCTATGCGATAGTCGGATCTTAACCCGAAGGGAAGGTTCTTATATTGGAAACACCAGGCTTAACGACTCCAACTTTCCTTGAAGGTTGAGATCCCACTATTTCACTAAAAGGCGGGGACTAGTTAGTTTTCTCTTTCTAGTATTTTGTGTGAATATTGTTTTTTATGTTTATGTTTGGTTTCGTTGCCTGTTATTTATTGCCACAATCGCAAGGATTGATTAATTACCTGTCCCAACCCTAGGATCAGACAAGAAAATCACACACCAGGTAAATCTCAAGAGAAATGTATTTATCAATATTGAACAAAAGTTCTATGTTAACTTTCACTTTATACTTGTCGGACCACATTAGGACAGATGGTGTATGGTGATAAGTTGAGAAAATGGATTTTGATGTAGAAAAAACACTTAATGTTTTAAGGGAGCTCAAGTACAGCATGACTTAAACGTCATTGTTTTTACTAGGTTCAAACAAAAGAGGATATTGTACCTCTCGGGGTAGATAGTCTCATACTTCATGTACATTTTCCTAAATATATCGACGTTGGGTTAATGACACAGTTCTTTTTACACGTTGCTTTTTCTCCAGTTTTAATACTTCTGCCAACTCTGTCATTGACCAGGTCACTCTCCAGGAAATAGCACGATTCGTGGAACAGAGAGGTCTTGCTGTTAACCAACGATACCTAGGATACAAACGACAGGATGTCACCAGCATCGTGTCATATGCCTCCACCATATTTAATACCATGCTCCTTAATCTCAAGCGCTTGTATATGGAGGTACTTTGCTTTGCATTCAAACATTTGAAATATTTACCAATTCTGTCTTTTCATAGTGATGATTGTTCTAAAGAACAATGATTAATTTAGAATAGCTCAAACGATTGTATTCAAGCTGCGAGATCTGAGAGAGTTGATGGGAGTGATTGTATTTCAGAGAATGTTCTAATTTAGTGATTTCTCGGAACTTTGTCGTCCTTCAAGTGTACCCTGATTGCAAATAGAAATGAATATAGAATTATTCTTTATAATCCAAAATAAAAAAGGTCGAAAACCGCATCCAAATCGATCAGGCTAAAAATACAGAAATGTATCGGTATTTTCAAAACAATTTTAACATGATGTGTATATCATGACAAATTAACATTATATATTCCTTATGTTAGGTCGACAATTAAAATATTTTATCTTATTTACAGTGGTTATGTATGAAAAGCTAAATTATATCACGGACTTAGATGAAATATTTCCGTAATTATTGTTTTCTCGAAAAATATTAATGAATCATGAAGTTCCATTTTTTCTCCTTATGCATGCAGTATATCTAGGTTATGATGAAGTATCGTGGTTTTATTAAATCTTCAAACTAGAGTACTTGGAAAATTAAATCATATCTGTCCATTTTCTTACATAATGTAGACTACTGAAACGTGAAATATGGGTATAGGTAAATAACACTAAACACGAATGTGTCACGTGCTGTCACGACAACTGAGAAGCCCAATATACACCTTCACACCTGTATAAAGGTACGAGATCAAGGGATGTCAGCAGGTGGGTTAGGGGTAACCTGAACTTTAAGTTACCGAATAGGTGTAGGGTATGCTACTTTCGATTTTCCATTTTACAATGATGTCCGCACTCATGAAACGAGGAAATGTATAAGGACCAATTTGAAGAAGATGCGGAAGCCTGGTGAGATAGTTCATTGATGCACTACCTATCTTTTTGAGCCTTGAATAGGCAGCTCTCCATGTGCAAAAATCTTAAATTTGGTTAGTACATTTAACACATGTTAATTTCTTATAATCGCTGGATTGAGTAAAGCACAAAAATAACAAAATTATCTCCTCCACATACTTCCAGTAAATGCAACTATGCATGATAACTTTTCTCATAAATAGCACATACAGATTAAAATACACAGGAAGCTGTTCATTATGAGTATAGATTTTGTAATGATGTATTTGTAGTATATCTGTATTTGTAAGAGAACTGAGGGTACGCTTTCGTTAATTTGACTGGATTTCTAATCGGTTGCCGGTTTGTATTGTATAAATCAAGGATTCGCCACATTTTTTAGCGATCAAATGGATCATAAAAAGGATAACATTTACAGCCCCCAGATTCACGAATTATGAAAACACAGATAAAGTTAAGATAGCATCCGCGTGTGTGTTCAGACACCCGTATACAGTATATTACTTAATTACTCAAAATAAAAAAAAACGTAATTAAAATTGTAAAAAGTCCTTTCTATATGTATGTAGCACTGCAAATATAAGCTACATCAGTAGGGGGTGAATAGAATATATCACATAAGTAGCGAAAACGATAGCATATAGAACACATGATGTTTCCTGGTATATTTGTATATGGCTGTTTCGACAGCGTTGAACTTGTGACGTCACAGATGTGGGCTTCCCATCTCAGTGTGCATTTGAGATAAATCACAATATCTCGGAACCGGAACTAACTACGACATTCGCACTTCCTTGGCCTTTTGTTGTATAATATGACGTATTTGATAGCTAACTGTAGCAAATCACTCAGAGTACACTTTAAATCCGCAGAACAAATTAGTCCCCATAATTATACTTCCGTATATCAAAATTCCACTCACAACAATGCAAACCTTGTAAACTATCGAATTCTTGCAACGTTTTCGAGCCACATTTGAAAAGATTGCACAAAAGACAAACAAGAGAATAACACCCTTACACACAAATTGAAGTAAGACCAAACAATGTATTAAACGGCAAATTACAGCTGTTTCGTCCTTCTAGTTCTAATCAGTGATGCTAAGCGCCTAAAATTTAAATCTAGGAGGTGACCGATGAAAATTATAGTGATCAATAGAAATGTCAGAATCTAGATGGGGAGGTGCACTGACCCAGTAATTCAGTAAATTGTGTAATTGTCTTATCTCTGATATTGAAATAACACGCAAAGGCTCTAAAGTCTATAATGAATGACCTTACTGCATTACAGTATGATGACCTTGAGCGGACAGTAGGCATAAATACGGGACACGTTGAAACTGCGGACTTCGAACTTGAAGAAGAAGATATCGCCTTTATGTTGGAGGTGCGTTACCTAGGTAACAGTAGTAAAACACTTGTGACAAACCGATAGTTTAAATGGTATACTTTACTTAAGGTCGATATAATACGCTACATTTTCTCTCGTCTCTTCTTTCTTACGTCTTTGACAATCGTTGAGGTTCTTTTTTCGTAACTGATATTAAACCAAATAAAAGAATGATGTCGTTGTATATTGTTTATATCTGTAACAAATACTTGTTTTTATTTATCTTGTTATATTGCTATTTGTGTTATTTCTTTCGGTAATAACTTAACTCAAAGCGATACAAATTATATACATATGTAACCCTACTCATTGCACGATATCAATAAAATCCCCGTTTAAAGTGTAAAGACAGGTCCAAAGAACTTCACCAATGAAAGATTTGAACATTTCAAGTCCTCTCATGTCAAAGCAATAATTTGTATGCAATTTATAATATGTGTATAATATCACTTCGATAATAAAAATGCAAAACTAAAAAAAAAAAAAAAAAAACAAGAAGGAAATCCAGTGTGTGTTGTACCGTTAATATAATTTTCCCGTTTCAGCAAGGAAGAATTGCAACCATTGATTTTCTTAAAATGTATGTGGCGAAGAAAATGAAAAACGAAGAAAAGGAGGTGTAAGTTCGAGACCCTGAACTGTAGATAAAAGTGATATATAGCTTAATGGACTTGGTAAAAGGAAAGTGTGAACTATAACGATACCACGGTGCTTGTTGTAACTTGTGTAAGTCTGTATTCTATTTTTGTCCGATAGATATCTCAATCCTATTTAGAAGGTAGTTCAAGTTTGAAAAGACTTTCAATAACCGTACTGTTATTGCATTGTTGAACATGGAACACCCAACGTGTTAATGATACCAATCTAGTTATTATCATTGTGTCAGTAAATGTGTATCAGTAAAATACTATGTGTATCAGTAAAATACTATGTGTATCAGTAAAATATTATGTGTATCAGGAAAATACTATGTGTATCAGGAATATACTATGTGTATCAGTAAAATACTATGTGTATCAGTAAAATACTATATGTGTATCAGTAAAATACTATGTTTATCAGTAAAATACTATGTGTATCAGGAAAATACTATGTGTGCACGGCAGCGTGATAAAGATGTAGTTCGGACAGAAATTTTGAAAGGAACCTGGAGGATTCCTTTTCTATTTTTTAAGGAAGGATATCAAAGTCAGACTCACTTACTTTTTGTATGGATGTCAATTAAAGACCTATGGAAGCTTGTATTTGTAAATTTATTTTTTAAGTATTGTTTAAACTGAATACTTCTTACACTGAGTATCGGTTTAACTGAAATTCCCTGATGTTCTTCGAACTACGAGTAGTGTATGGTTACTAACGGCTAACTTTACATGGAAAAGTTGGAACAAAATAAAAAAAATAATAACCCCGAACAATCAGAAATGAAAACAAATAAAGGTACACTTACATAACTAAATAATCGTGCGCCACCACAGACAAAAACTCCGAGATTGGTCCAAGGGAGGCTACTCTTACTACTTCGACATATAGGAATTAACCTTCGTTTTAATCTACTATTCTTTTTGTGATGGCGATGAAGTGAACTACTGATCACAGTTTGATTTCTGAAATATCGTCCATTATTGGCGATTAATATAAGATTTTAGTGTGATTTTTATTAAATCACTTACGAGATTCTTCCTTTGAGTCATATCATATTAAGATTTGCCTTTCTTATTTCTTACGGATAAATTGCATTCTATGTCATAGCACCATTTTAAAGATTGCTTGAATATGTCTGTACCTTAAGTCAGTTTGAAAAAAAAAGAGTAATACAAGAAACAGACCATTTTCTGTTCAGATCTATTATTCAAAATGGCTTAAGCATAAACATTCCTGTATTCCTTGAATATATACAAAAATGTCACCCTGCAATAGACATATTTTTGCATATTTAAAGCTGGAGTTTGTTAATGCAGTATAAGTGTATTGGATATAAGTAATCCGATGTTAATGTAAAACACCGTACAAAAACACCACGTTACATCAATCAATACCTCTGAAATATTCACACGAAATTGCAGCACCTTCTCACGTCAAAAATCAATAGGTGCTAACGACACTTCTCCATATATGGAAGTCTATAAATATATATAGTCTATTACGGAGCTCAGACTTCAGGTACAGATGATAAATAAATTATAACACTCTACTTTTTGAATAAATTCAGCTGTTGTAAAGATCTCTATTTTATTGGTTTTCATTTGTAAGCTGCTGTTATGGTATAGCTAAAGTGTTTAAAAATTAAGAAAGCCCTCTCTCACCTTTAATTATTGCTTTAAAATTGTAGTATTTTTATAGGTATTGTGTTACATTCTTAAACTGAAAATGATTAACACTTCCTGTGGGATTAACATTCTCATTGAACCTTAGCTCTTTTGTTCATTATCCCAGGAAATTAGGACATTGATCAACAGTTCCGTTCATTGATTTTACGTCAAACCGAACGGTATACTTATGAGTGTCGTGCAAAGATATTGTGATATTCCTAAATAAATGTTGTAGATTGTGATAACATAAATCTAAATCTTAAGGTAAATACTTAAAAATTATTGTTTTTAATCTTATGTGGTTAAGGAAATGAGAAGGTGATAAGTTGTGTTAATCTTACTAAGAACAACGGGATTCGCGACCTACAGTTGTAAACCCTCGTCATATTTGAGATGCTGTATTAAATGTCTTCCTAGAAAAATATGTCTTTTATATCAACCGCTTATCCAGTCGATCTTTTCCTTCAATGTAACCAATATGGACCTTTACACCAAGTTGTATGATAAACGCGATAATTTCAATTTCCCTATTGGTGAATTTTCCATTTCTGAATAGCAATAACCCTGTATCACCAAAATATTGTATTCACATATCGCGGTTGATTCGATATTCCCGAGCCTGTTCCTACTATCATGATTTTTACAAGCGCCAACTGACGAACAAACAGTGTTTCTAAAAGATGCAGGTTGAAGAAAATTATGGGGAAGTTTTACGGTCGTCATAATGATCTCATTGAGAAATATTCTGTTTCTTTGTGCGATATGAAGATGGACCTGTTTAAAACTTGTTACTTTGCCTGTTGATTCTGTTGTCGTACACATTATTCTCATTTGAGTACGTGACATTACTTACTTGGGTTGACCAAGAGTGAAATGAGGGGTGTCGGCGATGAAACAGAAGACGCTAACTCTTCCGGAACACATGGTCTTACTCTCCCTTATGACTATGTTGACATATCGGTATTTTCTTGTTGTTTTTTCCACTTATTTGAATTGGCATGACATTGAATCATAAATCACAATGAGCACATCTCCAGGGACAGGTACATGCATGGTAACAATATCAGTAGGTACATGCTAAACAGCAATAATCGTTTTCAATAAAATTTTTATGTTTGTGTAAGTTTATCAGAGACAGATAATCCGGGGCACATGTTTTCTTCTCCGCAAAAACATACATGGTTCAAAGACTAGTTCAATAAAATGAAAATACATATAAACACCAAATCTACAATTATATATTAACACAATGACGTAAAGGCGGCAATACCTACATATATACATTGTAAATGTATATCAAGTTTGCTCTTCATATGAAAATTCTTATTTTTTAAACAAACATTTTTGATATTTTTTATTTCATATTATCAGGAATAGAAGATACATATGACTTTAATATGAAAGGAGAAAAAATGATTTACAAACGTTACAATTTGTGGTAGTGTGAGGTGATCTGTGTATCACCGGCTTATCTTCTGTGTCCATTGTACCATCTGGATAAAAATTTGGATAAAAATCTTTGATAATCTTCAGAATCAACCACAACCTATTGTATCAAACCTGCATTTTGAGTAAAAGGAATTACCAACCTGCTTTCTTTGCATGGGGAAATAGGGAAAAATAAGAACCTGTCACAGACACTTATATCTTCATATCTTCTAGACTCCCTTAATTCTTTTTAAATAAATAGTTTCACGGAAAAAGAGAAAAAGATGTATTCCAATTTCGTTGCTTCTTACGATCATGATGGATCTCTGCAGGTGCAGTTCATAGGCCCTATCTTCAGGGCAGTAGAGAGGTGCATGAGTCGATAATATTGTATTGTTTCTAGTAATTTTCGCGCATGGAATAAATAAAAAACAAGATATAAATATATTTGTCTTTCTTGACACTACCTCACATTAACCTGTGTATTTAGTGTCACCTACAATTATGGAAACCTTTGAGTTTAATAAGTAAAACAAGGATTCGAAATGATTTACAACTAATGTTGCTTACTGACATTCTACAAGCGGGAGGAAACAGTGGGAAAGATGATAAAGCACAAACTGTAAGACATTTAAGTTTTGTACCATTCTTACAGAGCGATATCTTCCAGTTTGTGATACATAGTTATCGTCGATTTCGAAATCAGCTAGAATGAAGTGTATTCTCTGTGTAGATCAATTCGTTATGCACAATGAACGTTTATTTGATAGTTACCCTGGAACACAAGCGTTGGCTAGCTACAGTGCTGTTGCTAACGTAGCGCCACGATTGATGTGTTCCAGACATGTAAGACGTGTTTAGTGTTACAGTAGCTTTCATGATACTTGCCAGGAATTCTGATTCTGACAATCAACATTTGACACCACAACTTATTAAATGTCGGAACAGGTTATCAATTAACCTGGTTAAAGATTATTAAACGTAGATAGATTGTTGTCCTTACAACGGAACTCAGCTGCGCTTCGCAATTTTGGGAATATGTCAGTCAATTACGGGGCAAGGATGGTATTAGGAAATAAATGCATATGTAACAGACGAGTCATTGACAACACGGAACAATATGCTCAATACATCATCCTGTGTAACATAGTTACCCCGTTTCTTACTTTTCTTAAGATTAAGTTCACCTGTCTAATCATGAACAGAGCTGCTTCTTTCAGCTTATCGAGGTTTATCCAACTATAGAAACAGAGTGTAAGCTACAATGTCTATATACTGTATGAATATTTATTAAGTAACCGGGCACGTATACATGTCTGGGAATGTTATTGTAAAAAAAAGGTGTCATATTACTACAGAGGTCCATGCCAGTTCTTCCCATGTAAGATGTCTTATACAAAATGTGGCGGTTAACATTGAGATGGAAGGATATCACGGACAAACCAGTTAGGCGGTGTGACGTCAGTAAACATTGATGATATCATTGACACATTAGGATGATGTCATCAATATAATGTCAACTACACACGGATATAATAACAATGTACTATTCTGTCACCAATGTAGCACCACCTATCCTTTCGTTAGACGCCTTAAAGTCTTATAACAGTCTAGTCTTATGAAGCCGGTGTCCACATGTGATAGGCCCACTGACGACACTTTTATAGTGTTATCACACTGAAATGTCATAACCTGGATACATAACGTGACATCCGAGCCGATCACACTTTGTGCATCCCCTTCAATGCTATGTGACAAGCAGGGGAATACGAAGTATCATTTTATTTATTGTAGTATGTCATGGCTTGGATAAGAGGCTAGTGCCATTTTTCCTTTTTTTAAACAGAAGATATTTTTACTGTATAGTGATTATATAAGCACAGAGAAATGGCTTCTTTAATAATGCTAAACAAAACCATGTTTTGATTGTAACATTTTAATAACACACACTTGATTTCAGTATAGTTGATGAATTCTAAGAGAATATTTCCGTATAAGTAACATTGTGACGTTGACTACAATATATTTGAGACGTGTACAACATACGCTATATATTTATTTCGTCCATTTCACCTTTGTTTAATGATTGTTACATAACAAACACATTTCAGTACATCTTTTATCACCCAACAATCTACACCTCAAGAAGCTATAGCCTTCCACTCTAGTGTTAACACTCCATACAGAAGTGAAAGTGAGGGAATGTCAACAGATATATTACAAAGAGAAAAGAGTATTTAGAAACGAGAGGAAAAGATAAATATCACAGGTTAAGTCGCTCTTACCACTATATTATAGCTTGCAGCAGGTACTGTTATTATACTTCCAGCAGGGCCGTAGATACCGGCAACGTTAACAAGTCGTTTCGGTACCTGGTTTACGTGACGCTAAACACATAAACGACTTTACCGGTACAAAGCTATATCAGTTTGATTTCATTACAACTATTTAACACTATGAAATAATCCATGATTTTTATCAGTGCTTTATCAGTGATTTTTGACTGCTGTTCATGTTTATACAACATATACACTACATCTGTATTTCCGTTAATATAATATTTCTTATGATTAATTCGTAATGATTTCATAAACAGGTCAGGGTATTTTGCCTTATTTCGATAAATAACACTATCTTGCCTCGGGATCATGTGTAAACCTCACTTTACAAAACTATTTTGTTGTTTCAGCTAGTTCCACGAGTGAAATAATATCAAACTCGGTTTAAATATAAGGCGATTCCAGTAGGCATAGCATATCAAAAGTAATTTTAATCGCCTTAAAAATCTAATTCCTCTTCTTCTCCAATTTTAAATCAGTGGTAGCTGTGAATACTTTGTTCGATTATAAAAAAAGATATTTTAAAAGCCTGTTTAATGCACATCGATTGAATTTTCCGAGTAATTTTCAGGTGTGTGTAATATCGCGGTTCCTATTAAGATATAACACAGATTGCATGTCGAGCCATTTCTGACGATATTTTGTGGTTTAACACAATGCTTGATATCAGAGCCCTACACATCTCTCCTATAGGATGGTTAAATGCACCACACTTAATACAAATCCTTTTTAGCTACGATTTTAGTAAGGATCACACTGTTGCCTGTAATTGTTTACTCACAACACTCTTTGTTGGAGTGACAACCCGTCCCCCTCTCCCTAGTGAGTTGGTTTAACTGATAAAACTTATTACAGAGCCAAAGAGATTGCAAAGCGAGTGATAGCCGTTTGTGACGAGTCTTCTCCTACTGCAGCTATCAGACGTTGGGTGAAGGGATTCAGGTGTGGCAGGGAGTTCGAAAGATGGTTCCCGGCCGGAACGGCCATCCACCAGTAATTACCCAGAAAACAACGACACTATGCATAAACTGGTGTTGGAAAACAGCCGTATTCTTGAGTTAGTTCTTGAAAGTTGTGAGGAAGTGGAAGGGACTATGTTGAGAACTCAAGTAGTATAATTGCAGATATCTTGCTTTTTTCTTTGTGAGGCTCAAAACTATGCGATACCCACTCTTATTATATATATATATATATCTTAGTGTGCTTAACGTATCTTCATTATAGATATATTGTGTTGATAGTGTTGAAAGTGTTGATAATGTACATCATTTGCCGGGGAACGAAAATTCCTGCCTTGACCATTGCGTCTATTCAAAAGCTGTTAAACCATCTGGTCTTTTCCTTGTGTGTTTTCTAATATTAAGACAAACAAAGAAGCCAATGAAACTGTTTGATCTACATTGTGTGCTGCAGGTGACATGCACAAAAACATAATAATTGTCTCCAGATTTATAGATTGTAAATATTATGTAGCGATAAACGTCTTCTATAAAGGAAGCCGTGCCATTGTGATATTTATTCAAAGTAATATTATTGACGATGGGGCTTTAATAATCAAATTAGTTCCTGGATAATCCTGTAAATCCCCGGATACATACCGCCAATGATTTAACGAGTTGCTGAAATTCCCGGTGCAGAGTTGTATATCACCAGCTTTGTTGATATTAACGTCTCGATAAAACGACCAATAAATTAACAGTGGCCCAAGCGCTTTAAACAACTCTAATAAATCTAATGCTTAGAATAATGCTTTGTGTTTATAAGGATCTTCTAACGCAATCATAAAGTTGTATCAGTTCATCCAAATTCATCATTACATTCAAATGAATTCAATATGATGATATATGAACCGGATAAAATATTAGCCTATTAAAGAAAACCTAGAAAATACCAATATGTCAACATAATCATAATTCAAAGTCAATACAACTCGGGCAAAATATGAACAAAAGGAAGATTTACACGGAGGCTCCTGACAAAGTAGAAGTGGAAATAAGACCAGGTGTTCCAGAAGAGTAAGCATTTTCTGCTTCATTGCCCATATCCGTTGTGTAAATCTTGAACAATCCGACCAAGTAACTTCACGTTCTCAAATCAAAATAAGGTACACAACAGAGGAACCAGAAGGCAGACTAGCGAGCATCAAACACGTCCAGTTTCATATCGCACTGAGAAACATGATATTTCTCGATGAGATCATTATACCGACTGTAAAACTTCCCCCTCATTTTCATTACCTGCATCTATTGAAACACTGTGTTGAGCTTGTCATCAGTCGACGACTTCTTACACGAAAATCATGATAATGGGGAAACAAGCCATTGGACAGCAAGTCAACGGCGACATGTAAACACCATAGGGTGGGGTACATAATAGGGAAATTGCTATCATCACGTTTCTCATAATTCCTGGTGGAAAGCTGTCCATGTTGGCTTCGTAGTAGAAAAAATCGAAATAAACGGCTGATGTAAAAGAATCTTTTGTGTCCTTGATTTCCAATTCTGGTGGGTATATATGATTGATATAGACAATAAATTTCTTTTTTTTTTGAAAGACACTACCTCAACAATATATCTGACAGTGAAATTAACGACTGTGCAAGGTCTTTTTGATTTGCTTTGATTAGCTCTTTGATCAATGCCACAAAAAAGAATCAGCCAACATTGGGCCATAGTAAGTTCCCATTCAAACAATTATTAAAACAATCCTGAACATGAATTAAAATTTTGTCGTGTATAAATTATCTACCATTTCTTCAAACGGACGTATATTTTATACCAATGAAATATGTATGAAATGAAAGGATATTCAATCAGCAGTTAGCCTTTCGTGAAAGATGAGACAGGGGCAATCCTCTACGACTCTACGTGTACATTGTGTGTCTTAAATCCATCCATTTTAGGATGATATGTGACGTGGCGGATTAATCGTATGCATGTTAGTGGTTAGACCACATTCGATGTTGTGACGATACTTATAACTGGTACAGTGATTTACTGTTATACAAGGCTAAGTGAGATATCCTGTATCAAGCGCTTATCGTATGAAGGATTCCTTTGTATCGCCTAACGTGTATATAGTTCCCTTGTATCGCTTATCGTGTATATATTTCCCTTGTATCGTCTATCGTGTATATAGTTCCCTGGTATCGCCTATCGTGTATATAGTTCCCTTGTATCGTCTATCGTGTATATAGTTCCCTTGTATCGCCTATCGTGTATATAGTTCCCTTGTATCGCCTATCGTGTATATAGTTCCCTGGTATCGCCTATCGTGTATATATTTCCCTTGTATCGCCTATCGTGTATATAGTTCCCTTGTATCGCCTAACGTGTATATAGTTCCCTTGTATCGCTTATCGTGTATATATTTCCCTTGTATCGTCTATCGTGTATATAGTTCCCTGGTATCGCCTATCGTGTATATAGTTCCCTTGTATCACCTATCGTGTATATAGTTCCCTTGTATCGCCTATCGTGTATATAGTTCCCTTGTATCGTCTAACGTGTATATAGTCGCCTTGTATCGCCAATCGTGTATATAGTTCCCTGGTATCGCCAATCGTGTATATAGTTCCCTTGTATCACCTATCGTGTATATAGTCCCTGGTATCGCCTATCGTGTATATAGTTCCCTTGTATCACCTATCGTGTATATAGTTCCCTTGTATCGCCTATCGTGTATATAGTTCCCTTGTATCACCTATCGTGTATATGGTTCCCTTGTATCGCCTATCGTGTATATAGTTCCCTGGTATCGCCAATCGTGTATATAGTTCCCTTGTATCACCTATCGTGTATATAGTCCCTGGTATCGCCTATCGTGTATATAGTTCCCTTGTATCACCTATCGTGTATATAGTCCCTGGTATCGCCAATCGTGTATATAGTTCCCTTGTATCACCTATCGTGTATATAGTTCCCTTGTATCGCCTATCGTGTATATAGTTCCCTTGTATCGTCTAACGTGTATATAGTCGCCTTGTATCGCCTATCGTGTATATAGTTCCCTTGTATCGTCTATCGTGTATATAGTTCCCTTGTATCACCTATCGTGTATATGGTTCCCTTGTATCGCCTATCGTGTATATAGTTCCCTTGTATCGCCTATCGTGTATATAGTTCCCTTGTATCGTCTATCGTGTATATAATTCCCTTGTATCGCCTATCGTGTATATAGTTCCCTTGTATCGTCTATCGTGTATATAGTTCCCTTGTATCGCCTATCGTGTATATATTTCCCTTGTATCGCCTATCGTGTATATAGTTCCCTTGTATCGCCTCTCGTGTATATAGTTCCCTTGTAACGCCTATCGTGTATATAGTTCCCTTGTATCGCCTATCGTGTATATAGTTCCCTTGTATCGCCTATCGTGTATATAGTTCCCTTGTATCGCCTGTCGTGTATATAATTCCCTTGTATCGCCTATCGTGTATATAGTCCCTGGTATCGCCTATCGTGTATATAGTTCCCTTGTATCGCCTATCGTGTATATAATTCCCTTGTATCGCCTATCGTGTATATAGTTCCCTTGTATCGCCTATCGTGTATATAGTCCCTGGTATCGCCTATCGTGTATATAGTTCCCTTGTATCGTCTATCGTGTATATAGTTCCCTGGTATCGCCTATCGTGTATATAGTTCCCTTGTATCGCCTATCGTGTATATAGTTCCCTTGTATCGCCTATCGTGTATATAGTTCCCTTGTATCGCCTATCGTGTATATAGTCCCTGGTATCGTCTATCGTGTATATAGTTCCCTTGTATCGTCTATCGTGTATATAGTTCCCTGGTATCGCCTATCGTGTATATAGTTCCCTTGTATCGTCTATCGTGTATATAGTTCCCTGGTATCGCCTATCGTGTATATAGTTCCCTTGTATCGTCTATCGTGTATATAGTCCCTGGTATCGCCTATCGTGTATATAGTCCCTGGTATCGCCTATCGTGTATATAATTCCCTTGTATCGCCTATCGTGTATATAATTCCCTTGTATCGCCTATCGTGTATATAGTCCCTGGTATCGCCTATCGTGTATATAGTTCCCTTGTATCGCCTATCGTGTATATAGTTCCCTTGTATCGCCTATCGTGTATATAGTTCCCTTGTATCGCCTATCGTGTATATAGTTCCCTTGTATCGCCTGTCGTGTATATAATTCCCTTGTATCGCCTATCGTGTATATAATTACCCTGTATCACTCTAAAATACGTTTTAAAGACAGATATACACCTCGATTTCTTTGTTTTCCCAAAGTTGTAGGTAAAAGAGCGTTGCTCAAGAGAACTTATAACTTACTAGCATCGGATAAAGAGTCTTTCAGGAATGAAGAATTAAGCATGAAAAATTGATCAGTTCAGTCTGTCCGATTCAAGAATTTCAAATAAACGGGAGATAAGCTAATAGAATGATTCAATTCAGCGGTATAATTGTTTACAAAAAATAAGGGTTGTAAGTCACACTGCTTAGGACCGTTGGAACGAACTATAGATTTCAATCAAATTACACCTGATAGCCTTGTCCTCACTTACAAGTAAAGATTCCAAACGAAAACATCGAAAGACAAGATGGCCATAAAACACATTTATTCGTCTAAATATTTACAGAGTGTTCTGCTTAACTAGCTAGAAATTGATCATATTTAATATCGAAACGAGACGACGTAATGTAAAACAGAACTCATTTGCTTCTGCTCGATTTACGGGCTACGAAAACGGCCTTGGTAGTAATGCATATCGGTTGGGTCTGATGAATGTTAGACTTTTATCCGCTACCAAACATTACGTAACACAAATACAGTATTAATAGTATTACCAGATCCCAATGTTGGTCTACAGCATCTAATGGATTCATTCTTGCAACGTTTCTTTCGTTAGAGATATTGATACCGAATCAGTCTTAGAGCCTACCATATCAAAATCAGTGCTAAATGCAGTGGTATCGAAACACATTGTAACATACAACGTTTGCAAATGAAAAACCTGTCATTATCAAAA